TATATATATATATATATATCTTACCTCTAAGGTATTAAATTTCTCGCATGTCTCATATTACGACTCTTCCTTCTCCTTTACACGGGTCATGGGTCATTCGCTGGTGCATCCACCTTATCGAGAGCTCGGCCACCGAAGAAGTATCGTCTGCATCTCGCAAAGTGTATCTCATTAAGTACTGGAAGCCGATAGTAATCCACTACCCACAACCCGCATAACCGCGCGTTACTTTCAGGTTTTTACTCGTGGCGTAATCCGGACGTGGGCTCTTGGTTCATACAAGCGCTCTGCGAGGAGCTGGATCTTCACGGACGTAAACGCGATCTACTCAGCCTAATGACCTCCGTGAACCGTCGCGTCGCCATCGAGTATCAATCGTACGTGCCGCAAAACGAAAAATTCCATGGAAAGAAGCAGATCCCGTCGATTGTCTCGATGTTGACCCGACTCGTGTACTTTCCCGATAAGTGCACATCGATACCGGACGATCTCGACGATGTATCAGAAGAAAAGAAGTCGCAGGTTTGCGAAAAAGTAACATAAAACACGAAAGAACGTTGGCGTTTCTCGAACGCAAAGAAAAATGATGGATTTTCCGTCAGGAACTGACAAATTGATTTCGATTATTTTCATGCATCAAATTTGAAAAACGATCATAGAGATCCGCGTGACTCATCAAATATGTTTAAATCTTGTTGCGATCAAACGTATATACCCGAGACAAAATTTTGCTCTTATTTTCAATCTCATTTTTTTCACACTTATGGTTTCTAAAAGGTTTTGATATGTTTAATCTTTACAGAAATTAAGTTTCTATTTTGGACCTCAAACACGCAATAAACAAATAATTTCAAATGTAATTTAATTTTAATTCGGGTTTCAACGAGATAATATGCTATCTATTTAGCTAAAAAATATAAATAGTTTTCTACCTTTCTATTGTTATTTTATTGTCAGATGAGATAAAGCGACGAATATCTTTAAATAGTATCTATACTGCCTCCATATTTAATCAAATACTATTCATTGAGATTATCTTGTTCGAAATACAAAATTCGATTTTAAGATTCGTTTTTGTCAATACCTTTCTGTTCGTGTGATTTATAAAAATGTGCATTGTTAGAATATTTTATCTATTATTGTTATCGTTAAAGTACTATTGTTCTCGTTAAACCATAATAGCAAATTGAATAGAATTAGGAATTGCAAAATTGCCTAATATCTGGATAATGCTTATTTAATACTCTATGTGTTTATTGTACAATTGATTTGGCAAATAAATTATGGAATATCACGTAAAGAGCATAATAATGTTGATAATGCTCGGCAAAGTAAAATAAATCGCCAGTACGTATTAAGCAATATACCACGAATTATTATATTATAATCGGTTCACTATATTATTCCAAATTAGTATGCTAATTACATATGGGCCCTCAGGAGCGGTAAAGGCTATAATCATAACGACCAAGAATAATAATGATTGACGTTCCTTCCAGTTTCACTATTTACTACTCATACAGCACAGAACATTGTCGCAATGTTACTGCAATATTCTGTGATGTATGAGTAGATTCGTCCCAATGATGTATCGACTATAACCTGGTGAAATAATACAATAAAGCAAATTTTGTTTCAACACGAGATGTTGATCGAAATTTGATTCCAAATTAATTTACAAATTCATTGCACGATATTGTGTGTGCGCGTCTCTAAATTTTCTCCACTGTAAGGTGGATTACATGAAAAGAAAATTTCTCAGCGGAAACCGCCCTGAACATAAACGTTGAACAAGAGCCTCGAGCGTTTACTGAGAGAAATTAGCGAGGATTAATTATATTCTCATACGCGTTGGTACATCGATGGTAAGTTTATTAAACGCAATGCATGCGATTGCAATGGCATGTTCAATGTCGGATTAGATACTTGCGGTCAAAGGAGTTAGATGTACGTAGACGCTATTAACCTTTGTCTTGGAAGACGCGAAGTGGAGAATCCATGAATTATACCGTTAACCAGATGCGAATTATCGCGAATTGCAATCTCCTTCGTGCACGAGTAGATCGATCTACAATGATAATACAGACAGCTCCGTATTGCGGAGATCTCGGCATCGCTTAATCGCCTTGTTACGTGTCTAACGCCATAAATGTTTTAGGAAATAAATCAAAATGACAGTAATAATGAGTATAAATAGCCATACATAAATGTACGATGAACGGAACACACCCATGCACGCACACATATCGTGACTTCTTTTTTTTTATAAAATTAAAATATTTTTATTTTTTCGGATTATATATTTTTGACGTTAAATTTTCATATAACATTTCGTATTTCGTTCATTTTAAAAACGCGATATGAGAGAAGAGTTTTAAAAATATTGCAAAAGTTTATGCGTCGATTTATTTGCAATTCAATAAAATTCATGGCGTTTCAATATATTAGCTACAAATAACGTAAAAAAAAAACGATAAAATCTCTTGCTTTATTTTTAATATAACTTTTTAAATAAAACAGATTTCTGTTACTAATAAGCATTTAACAGTATTATAGATTAAAATATGTGAAAAAGAAGGGGATAAAAATAAGCGCAAAAGGAGAGAAGATTATATTCTTTTACTGCACGAGATATTATGAAAGATTATCAAATCGAATCATGTTAACTCGCAGAAATTATCCATTATTTCTTAACTAAAGAATACAATGCATAATCATCTAATTTATTTGTTTTTCGGTATCATTTTTATTGATATACGTATTTTCAATGGTTTATCATATTTTTTGTTACCTACTTTATACATATATAGATTCAATCGTTTTCCTGAAATCTGAAATAACAGGCCGAAAAATAATCGCGTGAATCTAATCTTTACATAACTAATTGTAAGATATTTCTGATACTCGATACAAAACCAAATATCTCTCTTTCTTTCTCTTTTTTTCTCCTTTTTTCTCTTTTTTAATTAAAATTTAAAATAAAAAGTTTTACAGCATATATATAAAATAATTAAAATAATTTAACAAAATATTTCTCTTTCGAAAAATAATATATTAACGCTATATAATAAAAAAAAATTCACACGCGCGAAACAAAATAATCTTTATATTTTTCCTAAAATGTAAAATATATTTCGACGTATCTCCCAAATATAATTTGTCACGGATCTAGAAAATATTGCTCGCAATTTCAAACTTTCGATCGGAACGCATTCCACGTATGAGCATAAGAACATCGTGAAGCGAAGCGCAAACGATAAGAAGACGATTCAATCACTGACGCGAGAAAGGGGTTGTCGAAGGAATTTTTCGAGCCGTTTTGACTTTCCGGACTGGCAGTTTGAGCGATTGCGAATCGAACGTATTTCCTCAAGTTGCTAAGTGGCTCTCGAAGAAACGAGCGCTCGAAACTGCGCGGATGGCTTGTCTCAAACACGATCAAAGGATTTCGGTTTTCGTGAAAGCATCTCTCTCATCTCTTTACCGACGCTTGTGAAGTACACTACGTGAAGTAGAGGTGTGCCGCACCATACTCGACGATCGTGTCGTTACGATCAATATGGATGCGTGCAAGGGTTGCGCTTTGTGCGCGGAGTACAAGTTTACATGCAAATAGTAACATTGCTTTTTTATATTCCCAGGTGTTCGATATTTCACAGTTTATTCACTGTCAAGCAACATTAATCTTTCTCTCGTATATATCGCCAAACTCTTCGCTCAACTCTTTGTCTTGGTTTTTCGCAAGCGAAATGTCGACTTTCCCTTATCGCAAACAATGTTCTGACATATTTTTTTAACCCACCAAACCGTTGTATTTTTTAATCTTATAAAATAAATCACGCGCGACATATCTCTGAAAATGTATTTTATGGATGAAATATATGAATTTGTTTAGACTCACCTTTCTTACTCAAACTCCATAATTCTTAGACATTTAAAAAGGAAAGAACATTCGCAAGGCTAAATACTCCGATTTTAATAAAATATCATATATAT